TCTCTGATTTTGCTCTCAAGTTAGTCCGAGAAAAGTAAGGTTCTCTTTGTACTCGGCTCTATGGTTGAGTAAAAAATTCTGGTCGACGTTTCATCCCTTTCTAGATTTTTTCGTAGGGCCGCTCGGAAGGATTTCGTAATGGGCTATGGTAGGACGTTTCCTAGATTGTACTACAGCGGGTATTTGAGCACGCCGTTGTAAGCGTTTCGCAACTATGACTTCAATTTTCCACTGTTGTCCGAAGCTGTTTGAGAACTATCGTCTATTACGAATTTCTGTGAAGGGCATAATTCATCGACGGCTGTCGAAAATATCTGTGGTGCACTAAAAAAACGACATCGTACCTCAATCCATGGGTGGGTGCCTCGTGACTAATCACTTTCAAAAGAGCAGAGAAGTGGACTACATCTGAGGAAGGTTTTGCAGTGTCGCTGGTGAGATTCTTACTGAACGCTTTACTTTGGATAACTTTCCGAAGATTACATCGTGACCGCCGAGGTTTGCTTCTCAGTTACAAAGTTTGGCTAATGTAATTTGAAGGAAGCGTCCGTAGCGAGAAAATGTTTGCCTTCTTCACGACGCCGCTCGATCGCACGTTACGAAACTGTCTCGTCTGAAGATTGCTGAACTTGGATTGAAAGTGCTGCCTCATTCTCTTTGTTCAACATCCCATTACCATCTGTTTCTTGCTCTGAACATCACCTTCGCGATAGAGAATTTGACGATCGCTGGGACCTGCGAAGTAAAATTTCCAGCTTTTCCGAATCACGCCCGCCGCAGTTCTGGGCTTCAGAAATCAGAAAACCGCCGGATTATGTTGTGGACCGCGATGGAGGCTATATTATTGAGCTAATTCCTCTTTTAATGAAACTAAGAGTTCCCGAAATAAAGATGAAAATTCAATCGAATTTTTACCTCGACTTAATACTTCCCCTTCTCCACTTCCCGCTCCCTTGTTATATTATTTGCGACGTGAATTCCGCCAATTCGGTAGCAGCAACCAGGAGAAAACAGACCACATCAACTGTTACGACTAGAATTCTGCACGAGCACTGATTGATGAACTGAAATGGTGGAACCTCTTTTTCTATTTAGTGGTTTCATGTGAAGGGTCACGTTCTCTGTTATCAACGGTGCAATGCTGAAAATTGCGAACAGGACTGTCTATCCGATGCACACTCCTAATTGAGCGATCGCAAATGTTGTGAACGCTATCTTGATGAGCCCATCAGATGTTGCTGTACGAAATGATCAAAAACGACGAGGACTTGGTCCACGATTATTTTAAGATACCTTTTTAATGTTGAAAAACAGTAGTGTGCGTGGAGAATAGTAAATCGGTGGCGAAGAAAGCGATAAAAGTCGCAGAAATCATGAAATTTGGGGATTCTCAGATACAGCGAGAGTAGAAGGTAGCACGGGATTACCATGACGGAATCGGCATGGAAGGGGCATTCGGACGAGATTTCAGCTGTTGTAATTGCGTAATCAGCTGATTTCATTTGACCAAAACGCCTGAAGTTGTCGTCTACTGTCGTATTGTATAAAATTTGGGCATGGGTTCCCTTGTGGATGGTACACTTCTATACCACCCACTACGGTCTTTCATTTCTAATACGCCCGTTTGAAAAGTTTTTCGTAGCGACAGCACCTCATATGGTACACTTAGGTCACAGGTCTGTCCTAGTTGGGACTTTCAAAGAACTTTTTTTTGGGGACCGTGTTTTTTAAACTGATCTTCCACTAAAAAGTGTATGGTTGTGAAAATTTCCAGTTTAGTCGACTGGGTGTAACCAATAACCGTGATAGTGTGATGGCATGACTGGACAAGCTGGCAGTGAGGATTCTTGGTTGTAATTAGCTACTCTTCACTAAAACCGGACAGAGTCTACCAAAAGGTGACCGAAGCTACCGTCGATACCGCCTATACTACAGTAACAATGTCTGATACTATTGTTTGAGATCGACACAGTGGACCAGTCCTAGAAGTGAAAGAGCTCCCCGCCCAATACGAACCTTGCCTTTCAATCTGGTCTCCATACTAATGCAACCCTAATTCTTTCACTCTTGTGGATAAAATGTGATTGACAATCTCCCGGACGAGTCTGGTAGCAATTAACTTACAAAGCAGGGTGTAGGGATCATCTGGATTGAGCTAGTATTGATCCGGGACATATTTCTGGACCATATATGTAGTGGCGACCTTGTCTACTATCTACATTCTTGTAAGTGCAGAGCGTAAGGAGGTTGACCTTAGTGGTCTACACCTAGCTATCTGGGACCTATCCACTGAATTCTACACCCCCAAAAGGAGGCGTTGCTGGCAGGTTGTGTGGCTTGACAATGGAACGTTTTAATTTTCCTGCTGCAGTCTTTCATGGTCATCGTTGAAAAAAAAATGACGAATCGAGATAGCACCGATACTTTTTCCTCAACAAAGGTCGTCCTTGAATTCGGCAAACGGGGCGGCTCCTACTAGGCCATGTGGTATTCGTTTGAAATTAAATGGATGTTTTTTCATGCGAATCGTTCTGATTGAAACCGTACAGTTCCTTTCTCAATGTGCGAAGTATATCGAGTAAAGACTCAGGCTGCAAACCAGTCCTGTTCATGGTTCTTAAGAGACACACACTAGATCGGGACAACTGGGGTCGGCAGTTGTCCCCATCTAGTGTGTGTCTTAAGAACTTTGAACAGGATTGATTTGCAGTCTGGACTTCAAATTAAGTCAAAAGAAAGCTCAAATTCTGTAAATTACGACCACTTTCACACATACTTCTAATTTGTCTGATTCTAACTAACCTTCTCAAGTACAGATACGCTGAGATGCTGTAGAAGCTTTGTGACGACATTATTCATTAAGTTCTTGGCCGTTTTTATAGAGTATTGGGGTGATTTGACAGTAATACCCCCTTCTTCTTGACAAATTATGTATCACATATCTACTAAGGAGACTTTACGCACCACGTCCATTACCAACTCCCCTTTTTTCCAAAAACCGTGCTTGTTGGGGAATTTTCATGGAATTCAGTTCGATAACTCAAAAGCTCTGCGGCTGACTTCACAGGAAGGGTGAAGATGAGGATAAATTACTGTAAAAATACACACATCATCCTAGCTTTTAACTTCAGATTAAGGCAACTGAAATATGGGGCTCTCTTCTGTATTTCTCCTCTTACAGAGCTATTTAGTTTTTTAGGGTACTCCAGTCATAGGATTTACTTTCAATTGAGGTAAGAGTTCTTTTATTGGCATTCAGGGGGAAGCACTCATTCCCAGTTTGATTACTTCAAAACATGTCAGTTTCTTTTCTGTTTTTAGTGTTTACCGAGTAATTGCCCCTTCAGAGCAACCTACTTCTAAAAACATGGGGAACATGTTTTTCCAACGGAAAACATTCCCAAACCAGTAATTCAACTTCGAGATATCACGGGAATGTTCAGATGAGTCACCGTAAATGGAAGTTAGGGAACAGGGCAGGTTACCGCTGGATTTTTACGACAATGTGGATGTTTTTTAATCGGTACATAATAGAAACGAATTCTATAACTCGATGCCTTCCTAACGTTAACTGAAAACCCACCAAACCGCTAGCTCAATACCACAGAAGGAAATCAGTGGCAGAAGAAATATGGTTCTGGATTAATCAATAATATGCCAACGTTCAATTTCTTTTAGGCTTGGATTTTGTTTTCTAATTCCGATATTCTTTAAAAACAATAACATTTCAATGCTGAAAGATTTATTTCATCATTCGGAAACCGGTGGATAACACCGTTGAATGATTTGACTCTAGCTTTTTTTGGTAGTAGTCGAGCTTCAGACTCGCTTAACCTTGGCGCTGTGCTTGCTTTCCTTGTGTCCGTTGTGTCCGGCGGCAGTACCAGTAGCTGAGTATGATTCTACTGCCGCATTCTTTCTCATCGCCAACACCGTACTTCTAGCAGGGCATGGACAATAAGCGGCATCACTGCCAGGTTGTCCTTCAGCTCCAGCGTTTCCAGGTGGACCGTCTGGACCAGGTGCTCCAGGCTTTCCTGGGGGTCCTGGAGGTCCTGGTGGACCTTGTGCGGCTGCACCTCCAGTGTCTCCGTCTGCACCAGCGGGTCCAGGTGGTCCCATTGGTCCTGGGGGACCAGGAGGTCCTGGCAGTCCTGCTCCCTTCTTTCCGTCTGCTCCTGGCATTCCTGGTGGACCGGCTTGTCCTGGTGCTCCTGGTGCTCCTGCGTCTCCTGGTGGTCCTGGTGGTCCAGGCATTCCAACCCCTGGAGCAGAGACTCCTGAGCCTGGCATTCCATTTGGTCCTGGAGGTCCAGGAGGTCCTTCTGGACCAGGCGGTCCTGGTGGTCCAACCGGGCACTTGACACAGCCTCCTGCTCCACCTCCTCCAGAGATGGCAATGCCGTCGTAGCCTTTCTTTCCTGGCTGTCCTGGAAGTCCAGGCTCTCCGGGCAATCCTGGAGGTCCAGGGGGTCCAGGTGGGCCAATGGGACAGTTGGCTGCTTGCGGGCCGCAGTTGCAGTGCTCGGGGAACTGACGACGTTGACGAGCAATTGAGCGTGCATGACGGAACGCATCTTGTGGAGCTGGTCTCATTTCGTGCCACGCCGAGTTGGCCATATCCTAGAAGTATATGAGTTAGTAGCAATGGTCTATACAATGGGTAAATGAGAAAGTACAATGGGATCAGGGCATACCTTGAAATCGGTGAGCTCTTCAATAGCATCATCATAGAAGTTGTTGATGTCGTTGATAAGATAGCCCACGATAATGATGCTGAAGGTTGTGGCTATGGCGGCCACGCCGGCCACGCCGGACACGACTGTAGTCAGACTCATCGTCTAAATGAAATATGAAAGCCTCATTCGGAAGCAACGCTCTCCCAAGTATGATTGAGGGAAATGAAATGAGGTTTGGGACTGGGACTTACCCACACAGAGCACCACTGCGCTGTCGGTGCTGTAGCTGTCGCTGTGGATGACTGCTTTCTGAGGCAATCGACGCCTTTAAATAGGCCCTCGTTTCGTGGTCACTTTACAGTGTGGCATTCTCGAAGTGCACGACCAGATCTGTCGTGTTTTTGTGGAGCCGCCATAACCGTCTGTATACCAGGGTTTGCTTGTCCCGCCCACTTCCTATGATGGTTTATGCAATGCTGCCCCTGCGTTCTTCTGCACGTTCGATAAGTGCTTTCCATTTCGAAGTTTCGGCCTTGGATAGTTGAATAGGAGAGCACCAAAAGCTGAGAAAATGATGTCGACTCCAGAATATACCTGCTCTGCTACCTAAAGGGTTAAGGACAGGAACAGATCCCCAAAGTCAAATCTACAATCACCTAACATCCGTTTTTGTCCTGGGACTTTTCAAGTTATTTGACCTCATTTGTCTGAAATTATTATTCGGCTCTTCTGATCCCTGTTGATTTCGCCTCAAAGGGGATATCGAAGGCTTAGCCTATGGAGTAGATCCTGAAGTGGGCTGTGAACAGACACCAAATATTATATTTCCCATTCCAGTAGTGGTTGGTATACATGGTCACCCCTAAAGGTCTTCGATATTACAAAAGTCCTCCATTAACATGGCGTGCAAGCAGCAGCCAAATGGGGAATGTGAATTCATCTACAGCCTATGCAAGAGAAGGCCTGTGATAGTGACNGACTTTTTTGGTCTCGAGACCCGGAAAGCCCACCAGGCTAAAGCTCCTGAAAAGCCGAACCGGATTTGTTCAGTCACGGGCAACCTTATCGAGCAGTATATTTCACGCATGAATGCCTATAGCATTCGGGAAGCTGGTCGGGAAGATAAACTGGTCGGGATTACCCAATTCCTCAACTCTCTCTCTCTCTGCTCAACAGGATGGAACGCTTTTTTAGAAAAGTTGCTTTTCAGAGAGCTCCAAGCTGCATTATAGTGTCCGTTATCCTTAGAATGAGGATGGAAGATGACCTCCCGATGGTTTTGATTTCCAAATCACATTTTTGTTTGCCACTTCACTTAAAGATAGATATCGATTTTACGCAGCTAGTAAAAAGCACTAGTAAGCGAAACTACAACTCAAACATGCTAATGTGACCAGTTTTTCTGCTTGAATTTTTTTCTTCCAAGTACAGCTTGCACATTAGGAACATTTCGCTACAAAAACACTGTGACTAATGGATGATGGCGGCGTGAGATTTCTGTGCTGTGGCAATGAAATGTACACGTCCCCCTTCATCCCATTAATGTAATGCCTTCGGTGAAAGTTTTTCCCTCTTCGGAATCCCCCAATTTTCCTCTTCTCCTCCTTCACTTCAATTTCGAATAAAGTGCAATTATGCAAAGAGACATTTTTTCGAGAGCCGATTTCACGCGATCTTCCCTTTGTTATGAACGCTTGCATAAATTACAGGCACCAGGACGTGTGGAGGCTGATGTTCCTCTTCGATTAAAAACGCATTCGGACTTTTCAATCGAAGCAATCCCAGCCCATTAAGGATGTTCACAAGTTATTAAGTTCACTTTCATTGGTTCGCCCGAATCCCATCTTGACCGGATCACTGGGTAAGATTGAGGAATGTCGAGGAAGTTCCAGCTTACGAATGGCTTTTGCGACGATCTGACTAGGAACTTTATCTTTCAATTCATCAGCTTCCCTTCATTACCAGGAAACCTAAACTTCTGAATGATTAATGTTAAAGCCGATCTTCGTCTTCTTCAGTCTTACAGAAAGGATTATTTTGCTCTCTCTTATGTCCTTCGGCATAGCTTGGCTCTCAAAAGTTCAGGTTCCTTCAGCCACTTTTTGATCGTGCATTACAAGAAACTCAGCAATCGATAGTACCACATATCTCCCTTCTGAAATTATTTCCAGTGACGGGAAATCTCAGAAAAAAATTCAGGAAAGCGGGTTGCTACCCTAGTGGAGCAGGAATAGCTCTGGTCCTTTCGAAAGATCGTACATAGTACTAAAGTAGCTGCTAGCAACGACCTACTTTTTCGCCACGAGGGCAAGGGCGCGTCCTGACCATGCCTTTTTACACTTTTCTATCTGCAAGTTTGCATCCAGCAAAATGTCTATTAAACGACCCATCCCTGAAGGCTGGTCGTAGTAGCGGAATTTCTTGCTTGCACAGCTTTTTGTCCTTTTGAATAATACTAAGTGTATGTGCAGACAGAAGCAGAGCGAGGGAGGAGATGGAGATGGATCACTGTGAAAGGAAAATGTGGTGAGGTGGGAGAAGGGGATTTGAGAACTACACGACTTTTTCACTACTTCGTTATCGAATCCATAGACCCCATTTGTAATTTTTACACTTAACGTGCAAAAACAGTGCTTCGAAGGAATCCAGAAGGTATCGAGGGTGGTCGTTAGGTCACAGACACACCAACGTCTCCTTCAAAACTTTCCCTAATATGAAATGATGCAAAGCCAGCCATTACCATCACCGAATTGAATCTCAAAGCAATAACTAAGCCCATATTCCTTTGTTCCTTTGTGAGCTTTGTAGCCAGTTCTCGATGACGGTAGGACGGCGTAGAAGAAGCTATCTCGGTTGATCCGTAATTGCCCATTTCTCGTGATATATTATGTTTGTTCTCTCGTCAAATGCTTCATAAAGCTGATTTTTATTTTTATTTGAGAAATTGAATTATGTTACGGTTCCACTTTGAAATCTCAGCTGCGATGAGGTTTTTGCAATGAACAAGGACGATTCAAATTCGATTACCTTTGAAAAGTGTTTTTTCTTGTCTGCAGATATTTTCTCATTGCGAGGAACACTTCAATTTCAGCAAATGTAATGAATTTCCTGGAGAAAACAATCGGATACAGTGAAAAATGAGAACATGTTGGCGAAACTGTTGTAAACGATAAAACCCACTAGTCACACTTCCGAAAAAGGCTCATGTCTAGCGGATAGCTCTACTAACTTCACGAACCAATTCTCAGCTGGTATCTCGTCTGATTCCCTCTACCTGAAGTCTTTGGGTTGCCGCCGTATGGGCCTGGGAGAGCAGAAGCATCAAACGTCAACAGATTCCCGTAAATCATTAGACCGGTCTAACAGCCATTCCAACACCACGACGGTTCACCAGGAAAGGGGTTTCAACTTCTAATGGAACTTTGAATAGAGATCTAGGTATATCGATAGAGTTTGAAATGCTATTTTCAATCCTACCCTGGTTAGGGAAGCTCGGGTGCATGGACTGCTCTACAGTTGTCCTTGTATGGGGTAAATTTTTACAGGTGAAAGCTGTGTGGTCGAATTATGTAGAAATGTCTAANTAAGTATCTATTCCAATCAATTTCAATGAAGTCCATTTTTTATTTATTAAACTGAATAATTCATTTTGTACTGATAATAAGTCTGTTCCAAAGTGATATATGTACTGTATGACCAGGTGGAGGCTTATCGGAAGTACGTCTTCCGAATTGGACCTAACTGATTGCAAACTTTTAGCTGCTTAAGCCCCAGAACGGGATCACAAAAGTACAATAAGGTAAGACGCCTAGAATCTCCTATAAAAACGATGAAGCCTCCGGGGTAGTAAGCCCCTTTCGCAAAGGTACGGATACACTCGACTTCCATTCAGAGACGTAATGCTGCTTTGAATACGTATATGGCCCATACAATGATTGGGAGTGAAAGTGAGCCTTACAATTCATTGCTTTTTCCTTCCAGACCGGTCTGGTACGAGCTAAAGGGCTTCTGACGGGATGGAGGGCTTGGTTGGCTGAGAAGAACCGATCTCCAGACCACGTGTACGCTATAGACCGCCACTCAGGGGACGATACCTCATAATTCCATCAGGGAGTTGGACCTATCGGGTCCAAAACTGCGACTATTCTCCCTGGCGGAGTATTTTGGAGCGAAATGCTACGATAAATGCTCAGAAAAGATGTGCCATCCTTACACACCCAAAAAATAGTCTTTTATCAAACCTATTTTGTTTTTCGGCTACGGAACCCATTATATAGGAGCTGGGTGCTCACGTCACTTTGGAATTTCCAAATCAGCGAACTAGAAGATATCTCATCTAGAACTTGGTTTTTTAATCCTTTTTGCTCTTTAAGGTCAGCGTGGGAACTTTTTTCGAGGTACAATCCTCTTTGAACGTCAGTGCTCTTTCTTCTATATGGTAATGACCTTCTCCGGAATCCCTTGTCCTTGACGTAATGTTCGTTTTGATTCTGAGCCTCGGCGGCCTTTTTAAAACTGCGCAATGAATAGAAATTTCGATGAAGGGATGTCCATCTGCCGTAGTGGGGAATTGTTGTCACTATAGCAGCATCATACAAGTTGGGCATAATTTCAATCATAAGGTAGTTTGAGGGAGACCCGAGGAGAAAAGAGGTGGAGGTGGGGAGAGGGAGAGGGAAGGAAAGGGAACGTGAGAGAGGGGAAGGGAATTAAATTGTATCGATCTTGAATCGAGTTCTATCGGTTGCATGTGATGGCTCTTCGATTGTCCATCGACATGCTCCCTTGTGACGGAAGGGTAGCCTTCACCGAGGAATGCGCCACGCACCTGACTCGGGCTGACAAAAAAGATCCTACAAAGGGTTATTTCGTTTCGATATCCCTCCTTGAGAGACCACAGAAATACCTGAGAATTTTGCTTTTTTTTCTTAACTGCTCTTTTTTCTGCCCTGGATGCGATGCGGAAGTTCCATGAGTACTGGTTCGAGTCTCGTCAGAGGCATGCGTTCTGCCCATAACTCACCAACTTTATGATACTTGAGATTCTGACGAAAGCAGTAATGATTCCAAGCTCCAGCCTATACTCCTCTATGTGTATCCACATTCTCAAACATTTATGTAAAAATACTGGTTCTGGTAAGCGAATGCCATTGAATGAGTACAAAGAAGTTAACGAGCCAATTCGTTGTAGCCTGTTGATTTCCCCCATTGAAATCAAAAAGCGGTTCCATATCGTATCAACATTCTGCAGAATACATTCCAATAACGAGTTTTCCAGGGAAATCATGACTGTAATACAATTTCCATCCGCATAAGGCGTACTCAAACATGAACGAGTCTTTCGTTGTATCCTAAAAGTATCATAGAACCCTTAAACAGGCTCTGGATCAGTTTCTCTGGGAGAACTTGTTCAGCACACTCATGGGTACATCGATTCTAGACCGACCGCTCACGGAATGCGCCCCTGGAAGCCATCATGCCAGCTCATTACTCATAGCAGTTCGGCACGGGACACTTGGATTGCGCCTCGCATTCACCTTCCACTTCTGATCCAAATGGCGTATCAAAATCCCACTTAGAAAAAAAAGGCCCGAGCATCTAATTCTCTGTGGTTCCATTATGGGTGGCTTCTCTTCCTGCTATCATTGGGCCTACTGGTCCATACATCGTACGGTATACGAGAACTGTAGCTTTTCATTTTAGTATTTCGGTTTGTTTACATCCTCAACGCCCCAGTGGTTGTGCTTTTGGTTCACTTTTCACAAAAATATATAAATAAAGGTCCCCATCTGATTTTAATAAGGTCTTCCTCAATCGCCTGAACAAGTATGAACCCAACATACTGACTTTCATAAATACGGATCGGCGCTAAACTGGACGAGATTCAATCCGATAATCCGTGCAAGATTTGAAGCTTCTAACCACTTCCAGGACATTCATTGAAACATTGACTGGTTGCACTTGTGAGACATATTGAAGTAAAAAACATTAATTTCCATGACCTTCACTGCTAAGAATACTTCTGTGACCTCCAGAGAAGGACAATTGAATAGTTTCACTTCCACCAGGGAAGGCGTCAAACCAGTCCAGCTGAGAAATGGACTCAGCACAAAGGCTACGGGAGAAAGTCATGTTTTTTATAGAAGAAAAAGTGAGGGAAAGAACAAATTAGCCAACACAGTTAACACCAACAAACTTAGGCACTAGTAGGAATGGAATGCTGCTGAAAAAATCGTTTTGTCAGAATTCGCTTTGCTGGTTTTTTT